TTAAGACGCGCATGGATGGGAGCTGTGCGCATGACGGCATCACTTCTTGGCTGTCATGTATCCGGAGGGGGATTTAACGCTACTCTGCTTTGTCCTGGTTTCACCTCCACTGCAGTGCTCGGTCAGGCCTCTGCAGTCTGTTCTACAGATGGAGGAGCTGAGGCCAGGAATAGGTGGCCTTGAGGTCAGACACCAGGAAAGCTAAGGTGGTGTGGAGGGCCACCTGGATGGCTCTCCTTGAGAGGAGAGCAAGCATCTACATTTTGGCTGAACTTGGCCCTACTTCCATGTGCGTGTTGCTGTGCACAGCGCTGGCTAGGACTTCACCTTGTCCCTTCTGCTGCTTTTAAGCAGTGCAGATCAGTCCAGCTGAGGTGCGGGTGTGTAGCCTTTGAGTCAAGGGGCAGGTCAGCTTTCCTTGCCACTGTAGCTCCCAGAAATGATGTGTGAGCCGGGCTGGAAGGAGAGCCGTGCTCTTCACCGCCAGCTGGAGTTGAACTCCGAGCTAGAGGCTATGACTGCCGAGGGCACAAAAGACCACACCTCAGCTGGAGCACGACCCCAGAACGGTAGCTGCCATCTCACTTGTGTAATGCAGATTACTCTCTGCTCATCCTTCACCCTGGAGGTTGCGGAGGTGCTATCAGGCCTCCTGCCTAGCCCGGCTTGCGGCACTCGCCTCCTTCCCACCGTTCTCTTGGTCACTCGTCCTCAAGCCGCTCTCTTCTTTACAAATTAATAAAACCCAGGTTTGGGCTGGTGAGATGGCTCAGTGGTCTGAAGCACCTACTTAGAACAAGCTTAGCAAACAGGGACCACGGTTCAATCCCCCAGCACCACATGCCAGCTAGTGCCGTCCCCTGGTGGGCTGAGCTGGCCACACACACACACACACACACACACAAATAAAAAAATTAAAAAAAAATAAATAAAACCCAGGTTCGGTCCTGGATCGTGGTCTTTGCTCTAGTTAGCCATTATTTTAGCTGGACGTAGGACCCTTGGCTCCCCACAACTACACATGTGCCTTAGGGTCTTTATTCTCACCATGGGCTGCACTGGAAGTGGTAGGTTGGCACAAGCTCGCTAGAATTCCAATAATTTATCCATGGGATTACACATATAAACTTCCTGGACTGCGACCAGGACGAGGAAGGGCGCTGTATAAGGAGAAGAGTCCTGAATTGCCATATAGTAGCTGGGAAGACATCTGTGTGAAACAGGTCAGTCTGGAGTTGTAGGACGTCGGTGTGTCATAGCTATGCAGTGTGACCTGACAGGCCGCAGTGTCAGCCTTTGGTTGCCACTGAGGATTCCTAGAAAGGTTTTTGTTTTTTGGTGGAACCGGGGATTGAACTCAGGCCCTTGCGCTTGCCAGGAAAGTGCTTATTCCACTGAGCCATCTCCCCAGCCACCACTGGAAAGGTTTCATTGCAGGCTCTCACCTGGAGGCCTCATCTTTCCTCACTGCTTGCGTAGCCCTTAGCTCTTGTTCTGGTGCTTAGCAACCCCAGCATGCCCTGTGTCAGGCGCTCTGTCAGGCACTGGTCACCGCACTGAGCTACAGAGCTCCTAACTATAGGGACCAAACGCAACTGTAGATGAGGATTCATGTTTAGAAAACTAGAAATCAAGCTCAGTTAGAGCGTGGCCTTTGCTAGCTGCACAGCACCTTGTGCGTTCCTTTCTCTCAGCCTGAGCATCAGAACCCTGTCACCCCCTGGGCAGATATGGGCCTGCTCTGGGACCTGCCATAGGGGAGAGAGCCTGCTAGACAGGACCCTGTGGGAGGCAGCCTGCACAGGTGTGCTCGACAGACTCTTAGGAAAGCCATGAGCGAAGACCTTCACTCGGGTGTCGGGGAGAGAAGCTTCAGCGAGCCCTGCAAAACCAGGGGTTGGCACTGAGCAAAGGCCACAGGGACAGCCAGTCGGCAAAGAGGACATGGCACCTGCAGTCCTGTGCATGTGAGGAGCTAAGAGAAATACTCGTGTGTTGACACTCAGATGGCCAAGGGGAGAGCACATGACAACGCAGCTACAGGGCAAAGCAGGTTCTCTTATCCCAAGGAGAAAGGTCTTCTGGGAAGTAGCTAAGATACAGGGTATGGAAACCAGGTCTGGCGGCACACACCTATATCCCAGCACTTGGGAGGCTGAGGCAGGAGGATTGCAAGTTCAAGCCCAGCCTGCTCTATTTAGTAAGCCCTTGTCTCCACAAACCACCAAAACAGAAGAACCAGGGAATGGCTTGTTCCAATGGGCTCACACTCCACGCTGGTAGTTTTTGATTGGCCCGCAGCCTCTGAGTGGACAGATACTGGAGACTTTGTGGGGATGGCCAGCCAAATATACTGTCCTTGATCCTCATTAAGTGAGAGCCCCTGCAGGGGGAGGGGCTTGCTTTGGCTCCCTTCTTGGAAGCAGACAAAAAGGCTTGGAACCTGGGCATTCTATTTTAAGATCTCACTTTTAGTGGTGCAGTTTCCTTCTGGAACCTAGCCCATTAAGCAGTCTTGCAGAAAACGAATAATGACACACTCCCTTCGACCCAGTACGCCCACCCCTGCCTACATCTTTTCATCTGTCAGCATTTGCCTCATTTGTCCTGCCTTTAGGTGTGACTGGTAATCCCAGCAGCGTGGCCAGCAGGTCGTAAGAGTGACTCCTGCACACCCGACTAGGCCGTTACTGATGGGAGGGGAAGAAGAACCCCTTCGTCCCAGTTCCTACCTGTCATTCACAGGTAAGCAAGCACTGTAAGGCAAGAGGCTTAGGACGCTTCCACCCTCCTCTGGCTGTGTCCGGCACCCCAGGCCTACCTTGTGATGTCGCCGCTTCCTCCTGAATCGGAGCAGCTCCTTGTGTTGCCGCGACACGAAGTTGACAGCAGCGTATTCGAGCAGGGCTGAGAACACGAACAGCAGGCAAACAGCCATCCAAATGTCAATGGCCTTCACATAGGACACCTGGGGGTGGGGAGGAGCGTGATGAGGGGGAGCATGAGGCCGTGGCTTCTCCTTCCCGCATTCCTGTTTGTTACCTGTGGCCAATCACGAACCTAAAATGCTGGTGGAAAATTCCAGGAATAGTTCCTCCGTTTAAAATTGTGTATGTCCCGAGTCGCAGGATGAAATCTTGTGTCCTGCTCCATGCAGTGCAGAATGAATCATCCCCTTATTCAGCAGACCACACGCTGCACGCGACGCCCCTCCTGCGCACTCAGCAGGCTTCTGGGGTGCCCAAGTGAGCATTCAGGTATCGCAGTGCTTGTGTTCAGGGAACCTTTATTTAACTTAGTAATGACCCCAAGGTGCCAGGGTAGAGACGCTGGAAATTTGGATATGGCAGTGAGAAGCTGTGGAGCGCACGCAGGTGAAAAGATCAAAGTTCTCAAGTGGAGAAGAAATAGAGGAAAGAGCTGTACACGAGGTTGCTCAGGTCTATCGCCAGGACAAACCTACCTGTGCTATTAGGACCTGTGCTACCTGTCTCCTTTTTGCCTTTTGGTTGTCGTAGCGATGCTGCCGTGAGCTCACTGTACCAGCCGCATTTCCACTTCCCTTGGGGCTGCGTGGGGCTTCATTTGGCCCATTCCTTCCCTAACCTTTTCAGCTCATTGTAGCCTTGAAATTGAGCAGGCTGAAAGCGGAGAAAAAAGCATCCGTCTGGCAGCCAGTGGATGCGGAGGACTAGAGTTGGCTTCTTCCAAGCCTACGGCCAGCACTGCCATCGTCTGACCTATCCCTGGCTCACCCACAGATCCTGGTCCCAAGGCTGTCTTATGGCATCCGGCCGGAGCTGGCGCAGGGCAGGCAGTCTGCTCTCTGGACCCTTTTCTTTCTCGGTGTTGAGACAGCTATGTAGCTCTGGCTGGCATTAGACCCTCTGCACTGCTCCAGCTGGGCTCTAACTTCGATGCTTTCTCCTCTGCCTCCTTTGAGCACTGGGGTTTCAGGCCAGAGTGACTATGTGCAGAATTTTGGGACATTTGTTGAAAGCCACCAGTGGTAATTGCTGCCTGAGACACTTGGGGCAAAACAATAGGTCAGTGAAGAAGGCTTAGAAGGGAAGCTTGGGTGATGAGATGCCACAGGAGGCCTGGGAAGGCTCTGGTGTGTTCTGGGGACATGCGGGCATCTCCTCATGCCTGAGGAGGTCCTAAACACTTCCGCCTGGGTGACCCTGACACCCTGGGCAATGAGAAGCGAAGGCTGAGTCAGAGCCGAGAGTCGCCCGGCTGAGTGTGGGAGTCGTGCCTCAGCCCAGTTCCTCTCGGCAGGAGGGGCGATGTCCAGGTCCCAGGCACTTACTGAACTCTGTCCCCACTCCTTCACTGTATTGGAAAGGCTAGCCAGAGAGATTAGGCAAGAAACAAAGTAGCACTGTGGCTGGAAAGGAAAAAGTTAGTGCATTGCTATTTTCAAATAACATGGTCTTGCATAAAGAAAGTCCTAGCTGGGTGTGGTGACACACATTTGCAATCCCAGCACTCAAGAGGCTGAGGCAGGAGGGTTATTGAGAGTTTGAGACCAGCCTGGGATACAGAGTAAGCTCAAGGCCAGCCTGAGCTGCTTAGTGAGATCCTGTGTTAAAAAAAAATCCTAAAGAGTCTATAAAAATTACTGGGTTTATATTATTTCTATTTATTTATTTTATTTTATTTTTGGTGGAACTGGGGATTGAACTCAGGCCCTTGCACATGCCAGGCAAGCACTTATTCTACTGAGCTATCTCCCCAGCCCCTATTTCCATTTATAATAGCACCAAAAAGAACAAAATAGTGCTGGGTGTGAGGCTCATGCCTGTAATCACAACAACTTGGGAGGCTAATGCAGGAAGATTGCAAATTTGAGCCTAGCCCAGGCACCTGGTGACCTAGTGAGAAGCCTGTCTTAAAATAAAGAAGTAAAAAGTGCTGGAGGATGGAGCTCAGAGTAAAGGCCCTCGGTTCAATTTGGAGAGAGAGAGAGAGAGAGAGAGAGAGAGAGAGACAGAGAGAGACAGAGAGAGATAGACAGACAAACAGAGAGACAGAGAGAGACAGAGAGGCAGAGAATAAAAGTAAAAAAGAGGTAGAAATAAATTTAATAAAATGAGTGCGCTGCTTGCACATTCAAAATTAGAAAACTTTGTGAATAAAATGACAGATCACCTAAATAAGTAGGGCATCGTCCACGGATTCAAAGGTATAATATTCCTAACACGACAATACTCTCCATTTTCATTTATAGATTCAATGTAGTTTTTCATTAAAATTCCAGCTTTGTGTTGCATGGCTCTAAAATTCCTGTTTATGTTCTTAGGCAAACACAAGGCACTTCAATAATTGCAAAATCATCTTGAAAAATGAAGCTGGAAGCCTCAGACTTCACAGCTTGGAGACTTATTACAAAGCTACGATGACTAAACAGCGTGATGCTGGTGCAAGGACAGACAGGGAGACACTGGAGAGAGAGTCAGGGCCACGGACCCCACACGTCTGTGACTAGGTGATTTTTTTTTTCAAGGGTGTTCATTCTGCAGTAAAAAGAATATTCTCAAAAAAAGAATGTGGAAACAAATGGATAATTACACAGAAAAGAATGAAGTTAGAGCCCCCCACAATGTATTTTTTTTTTTTTCAGAACCAGGGATTGAATTCAGGCCGTTGAGCTTGCTAGGCAAGCGCTTATTCTACTGAGCTATCTCCCCAGCCCTAACATTGTATATAACATTAATCAAAATGGACCAAAGACCTAAGTGTAAGAGCTGGCTAGAAAGCTCTTGCAAGAAAACATACACGTAACTCTTTATGACCCTAGATTAGGCACTAGTATCTAAAATATGCTGCCCAAGTGGCAAGCAACAGCAGCAACAACAAAAAATAGACTAGAAGGTCAAATTAAAATCTTTTATACATAAAGGACACTATCAATCACATGAAAGAACAACTCACAGAACAGGGGAAAACACCAATATCTATCTGATAAAAGGCTACTTTTTTTTGTGTGTGTGTATTTTAGGGAAGGATCTGTAGGGTGTTCAGGGTCTCACTACTAGGTTGGA